TGCACAATGAAGGTGGTTTGCTCTGGTATTATGTTATTGTTGTTTAAATAAAACTGTAATTAAAATGCCATTAAATGCTTTGTTATAGTTCAATGTTTTCTGGACCCAAGTGCAGACAATCACACAAAGGCAAGAATGTGCAGTAGAGACAGTTTTAATTAAAGAAAATTGGCTTACATACAGACGGATGGAGTAAACTGAAGAACAAGCTGCCAGGCAAACAAACTGCACATGTCCAAACTCTGTTAATCCAACAACTAAGGCAGAAAAAAACAAAGCCAGAAGCTGAATGCATGAACTAAGAACGAGTGAAGGGAAACCTGACTTAAATACTGAGGGACGCAATGAGACAGTTAAAGCAAATCAAGGTGTTGCAGAAAATCACTAAGGCAAGAAAAAACAGATAACTAAAACCACAATGGACACACAAGAGGAGTAATTTCTAAAAAGAACACATAAACCATTAACAAATAATAAAATGTATAGGTGTTAAGTCATACAAGTGGCAGATTGGGACATACTAACTACAGAAAAGCATTTGTGCAGAATTAAGATTCATCCCTTATTCTTTGCAGGGGAGATGGCTTTTAAGTTTTAAGTTTAAGTTTTTGACCTGAAGAGGCGCTACAAAACCGTTTATGTTCTAGCACTCATAATTCAGAGAAGAAGGTTGAGCAAAAACATTGTTGAACAATACACTGTGTTTGCTGAACCTTATTTTAAAACCCACCTGTGACCACTAGTTTCAATATCACCAGCTAGCATTTCTAAGATTATTTTCTTGAGTGCCTTGAAAAGCACTAATAAAATCCAAGTATTACTATTTATTATAATGTTCTGACAAACTTTTACCTCATCACACTTTATACTAAGATGTGTGTCAGTAAGACTAAGTTAACATACTGTACTCGCAGGAAGTATTTACTGAATCATTTAAAGAGCCCGACCGAAGCTTTTGATTTTCCTTCCCCAGCAAACAGTGCAGATGTATAATATTTCTGTTCAGTTCTAATGAGCATCATTACTCCTGCATTGATGCTGTGCCAAATGAGCTCCCTGAATTTGAAAAAAGGAACAGTTATTTAAAGAAAGTGATTTGAACATTAAATCTGCATCAAAAATCTGCTTGAAATTCACATCGTAGCAATTAAGCATATTTTCAAAGCCCATTAGCAATTAAATAGATAGTTCTGGGGTGAGTGTGTACGGATTAAAGTAGTTCTATAAACTTGAAGGGGGGGGCATACTGTATCGGTATACTCTCTATGAAGTAATTAGGTCACAAAGCACTCGCATCAGAGAACAGGAAACTTAGCGGCTTTGGTCCCAGCCTGAGCAGATGGTAACACATCACTAAAATGGAGCCCCGCGAACAACCTACAGGGATCTTTAACGCTCAATCTAGAATGTGAGTATAGTGAGCCATCTTGAACTCGGCTGCAGTTTTCATATGTCAAACCTCTGCCAAGATATTCTCTCTTTGCTGCATAGAACACACTGTCCTTTCACAACACATCACATCTTTCTTTTCATTCTCTGGGGCAAGATCGGAGGAGGCCCGCACAGAGGAATTTAATTTCTTGAGTCAATGCTAAGAAATGATTGTGTTCTATTAGAGGAAGCACACTGTTCAGGACTATCGCTCTAGTCCAGTGAGCAAGAAATCTTGCCAGCACAAACATGATAAGCTCTGTCTGTCCCGGTTCTTGACAGAATGCTGAAATTGTGTGATTGTTACAGCAGTGAATATCCCTCAGGTAAAAACAGAACACTGGGCAGCCTCACCACAGCCGCCACTCATTTGGCAGATATGGGAAAAGACACGTGATAGTGGCCACACAATACATGACCGCAACAAAATTATAGAAATTCAAACAAGGGACAAAATATTTATATGG